ACTGTGACGCCGGTCGTGTCTGGGGACTTGTGTCCAGTTGGGCCGGGTTTTCTGCGTCGGTAGACCCCCAGTGGGTCGAAAGTTGCCCTGGAGGGGCAACCACCAAGAAGGAGGCTTGCTGGTGGCTGCGGGAGAGTGGCAGCTTCTCCCGTAGCTCCAGCTATTTCCTTAGGGCTGACGGAGCAACGATTGTCCTGCAAGATGGCCGATTATCCTGCTGCACCAGCCGAAGTCAGAATTACAACTAAACGATATTAGACCCACCATGGAGGATCCGGGTGAGACCCCTTTAGCCCCTCTCTTTCCCTTACTTGTTTTTTTTTTTGCCTGAAAAAACTTGGGTTGGAATTATTTCCCCATTTGGAAAGGGCGGCTTCTGTATGTGTGGGAAGAGAAGCATTGAGAATAAAAACTTTTTAAAGACTACACTCTATTTTTATTCACTTTGGGATACAGAAAAAAAAGCTTTTTTGAACTTTATTAAGAGCTAATATTGGAAGAATACTTCTTTCTCCACTCTTTAAAAGAGAGAAAAAAGGGAAAAAAATGGTGTCTGGAAAAGTTTTTTTATTTACTGAGGACATCTAGTGGTGAAAAGCTAATGTTGCAACTATTCTTTGGATAGAAACCTGACCTTCAAAATATTCCTGGAAGAGATAAGCTGGTGCAGCTGTGGAATCTGAGGGGGTGGACACTGTTTAATTACAGCCTTCATTAAAAAATAATAATAATAAAGAAGAAAAGACTTTCTTTGATTACTTTTAAAATGGAGAAACTCCACTCTCATTTAAATTGCAAGCTTATACTGGAAAAGATTTATGAAGTTTCTGAAGAAATATGTGCTATAAGGAAAAGGATTACTACAGAACGAAGAGTCAATGCTACCCCAAATTTTCAAAGTTACTTTCAGATCACATCTGTTTATGCTATAAACCAAAACATACCAGAGGGGGAATTAAAGGAAATTAAAGAGGAATTTGTTACAATGAAAGAGATCACCACAGAACTAAGAACCAGAGATTATTCTTCAAACTTTAAAAGTGACTTTCAGATTACACCTGACTACTCTACAAACCAAAATACACTAAAAGATGACTTTATTGAGGATACAGAGGAACTTATTTCCTCCTACAAGCATCTTATCTATATTTGTGAGGACCAGAAAAAACAAAGATTGAGATTTGAACCTTTAATGCAGCGAGGTTTCAAGAATAAGAGAAATGGAGGTCCAATCCAGACGACAGGAAGCTTATTACTGCCTCAAATATCATCACAAGCAACAAAGAGAGATTTACTGGTTGAAAGGGAAGCGTTGTTGTGGAAACCTGCTTGGCAGAAAAAAAAGCCTAGAATAAGACTGAAAAGAGAAATTTAAAATTATATATATTGGATATAAGGCATTTTAGAACTATGGACTGAGTTGAGGATTAAGTTTCTGAATAGAAATAAGAAAAAATGGGTGATTAATGTATGAAAATTACTATATAATGGAATGAAGAAAAATGAAGAGATGTTTTAGATTGGGATTGAATTAATAATTAATTGAATGTGATTTTAATAAGATGATGTGTTTTGTCTGATAATATGGATGATATTAGGTTTGATAATTAATTGGATGAAAACAGAACCTTGTCTAAAGGACTCAAATGATTTAAGGTTGTTATTATTTTGTTAACCAAAAAAATTGATGGATTGATGGATTAGATATGTATAGGATAGATTAATATTTTATTTTAATTGGGAGATATTTGTGGAAGAAGAAATAAATAAGATTTATGATGAAATTAAAGAATTAGGACATATTTGGAAGGGATACCTGAACTGATAATGTGTGTATTTGAAGTTAAACTAGATTATGGTCTTGTAATTGTATAAAGCTTTAAAATAAGTTTAGGATTAATAGAAATTTAAGGTAGAAATAGACTAGTTTAAATATATAAGCTATTTGAGGGAAATAGAGAGGGAATATTTGATGTACTGATTGAATTACTATATATGTTTTGTTTTTGGTGTCTCGAGCAGTTTGTATTAATTAAAAAAAATAAAATTTGTTTTTTAAAAAAGAATCTTTTATTCAGGAAACAAAGCATCAGCACTACATAGTTAAAGCCAAAAACTGAATCCCCCCTTCCCGCACAAAGTAGCAAAGCACAATTCCCTCCTTCAATTAACAGTCATAAATCACATTCCTCAATTAGCTCGAAGTGTGGGCTTTCTCCCCAGTTCTCTAGCCCGCCAAATCTTTATCAGCTCTGGGCACAATAACCTTGATTCCCATGGCTGAGTTATTGTTGTTATGACTAACTGGACTCTTCATCCACATTTCCCCTCCCAGCATCATCTAACTCTAAAAGTGAAAGAGAAAAGATGGCTACATTTCCAACTGTTGTCAAACCAAGAACATCCAATGTTAGCAGCGTTGACATCAATATTAACTTTCACTTTTAAATTCAAACTCAAATCTCCCCATTTACCAGGCAATTGTGTGTTCTACCTAGAATACTATAAGGATTCCATAATGGAAAATGAAAAAAAGTGTTACCTTCAGTTTGTCTACTTACTTTCAGTGCCAGCTAAACGCAAAAGTAAATCTGCAACATTTATCAGAAGAACAGGTGTTATTATGTAGTTAATTATCCTAGTCAACTCTATTTATAAAAAATCACTGCAAGAAGAACTTTGATATAAAGGCATGTTTTCTGTGCCTTTCAGCAATGGTATCATCTATTAGATGAAAAGAGGGGGAAAGGGGTAAATAGATCATAGAACAACACCCCCCTAAAACACTGGAATTAAGTATAAGTAATCTGATGAAGACTCCACTTGATTTGCATTATAAATACAAAGCAGCGAGTGATTGATCAATTAGCTCATTACATGCTATCAAGTTGTTTTTGACTCATAGCAACCACATAGAGTTTCTTCATGATAATTTATAGCTATTTTTATTTATCAAATTTAGAGACTGCCCATCTTACTCATAGAGTGACTCTGTGGTACTTCAGTTCTTCTAATGCAGTGGTTCTCAACCTTTTTAATGCCGCGACCCCCAAACAGTCGTAAGTCGAGGACTAAACCAGTTGTAAGTCGAGGACTACCCAACCAGTCATAAGTCGAGGACTTTCCCTGCCCGGGAGCGCCACGCATGCGTGGTGCCACCCCTGCGCCAGCTGAGGCGTAGCTGGCAAGCGGCAGAGACGGAGCAGGTCGACCACCGTCTGGGCCACCAGCTGGCCCAGCCCAAGGGAGGTAAGGCACCCACTGGAAAAGGGGAAAAAATGGCGGACAACCTTGCTTGGCGACCCCCGTGAAATGGTCGATCAACCCCAAATGGGGTCGCGACCCATAGGTTGAGAACCGCTGTTCTAATGGTATACTCATTGCTGTGGTAACAGGGTCCATTCGCCTTGTTGTTTTCTTATCTGTCCATAGTATTCTCAAGAGTGTTCTCCGGCCTCAAAGTTCAAAAGCACCAATATTGTTCTTATTCTACTTCTTCAAAATCCAATTTTCATTTCCATAATGTCACTGAGAATAAAAGTGGCTTGTATGATTCTGATCTTTGTAGATATGGAGACGTCATGGCATTTAACTATGTTGTTGTTCTTAAGTCTGTGGTGTGTTTCTTTACTGACTTTTATAGCTGATCTTAAGAGGCAGAAACTATCCATTACTTTGATATCTTCACTGCTGATTCTAAAGCTGATTGTTCTACCTATTATCACTGAATATTCAATTTTAGTTCCCTTCTGATGTCTACTCAGGGCATTTAATTAGTGGTGATTGACCAAAAGGCTGTAGACTATCAGAAAGGGGCTTTCTTCTCTTTTGAGTCCTTTTTTTCTCTAACAAAACAGTAGAAGAACCCTGATATTTAAGAATAAATAAATTAAACATAGTTAATATGATTTCACTCTAACAACAGTAATGCAATTCTTTTTGTCAACTGTTAAAATGAGAGTTTTATGAGTTTTTGAGGGACACTGGGAGCTGCACTTAGTCCTTGCTGCCTGTCTCTGCTACATACCCATTAATTGTACCTCTTATAGGGCCCTTGCCCTTGCCAGATATAGCTTTGTCATATCCTTCATGTAGGGTTCTTGTATCCTACCTCTAGTAATTTAATCAGTGGAACGACTTGCCTCCAGAAGTTGTGGGTGCTCCAACGCTGGAGTTTTTTAAGAAGACATTGGACAACGTTTGTCTGAAATAGCATAGGGTTTCTTGCTTGAGCAAAGGGTTGAGCTAGAAGACCTCCAAGGTTCCTTCCAACTCTGTTATTCTGTTCTGTAGACATTATTGCTAGCCTTGTAGACATGGATACTAACCAACCATTTGTCTTCCTGTAAATATATTTGGTAAACCAGACTTTCTGAATTTCATGTTCTGGTATTTTCATTTAATTTCTTCACCTCAATCTAAGAAGATTATATGCATCAGATCAAATCTTATTATAGTCATAGAACGGCATAAGGAGTATGGGGTGCAAAGAATAATTAATATTTTTTTAAAAAGCTAAAAAATATTTTAAAAAACACAAAAATTACACAAAGTTAAAAAAACATAAATATATATGAAGGTATGTACGTACGTCTGAATTTGGATCACTGACCATGGGGATGCTGCAATGGTCATAAGTGTGAAAAATGATCACAAGTCACTTTTTTTCTCCCAGTAACTTTAAATAGTCTATCTCCTTTCCAGGTTTAGTTGAAGAACAACTAATCTTGTTGCCATCTGCAAATACCACAGTTCGGCAAAAGACCCCAGTATTTTCGTGTTCTGCCATTATACATGTGCATTTGTATATACATTCAATAAAAGAACACACATAACCACATAGAAAGTATACTGGGGCCATTTTTTGGGGGGGTAGTTTTCTTTGCATAATAAAGCACATAAAAAACAGAGAGGCAACATGCATCATTATCCTTCATTGACCAAGTCCTGAATCAATAGCGATGAGTGTGTTTCATTTTTTCTTTTTTTTTAACGTTTAGGCTGTCTAATTTCTCCCTGGAAGGAAAGCAGCTGTTCAGTGATTGAAACATGAAGAAAGATGTGTTGGAATCAGATAAGCATTACTTCCAAAGCAGGTTTACCTCAACGTTTGCTTGCCTTTGTAGTCCTACGAGCCCTCATGGAATGCTGAAACTGAGCCCTATGCTCAGTTTGAATTGTAATCTCATAAGATATATTTAAACCTACCTTTTGGATATTTCGGTTGCCGTTTTTGCTTGTCACCCAACAAAATACTTGTACCGCTCCGCAAACTAAAATTTATAATCAGGGAAAACACCTGACCTTTGATTATTATTATACTAAAAGGCCTCTAATTGTCATCCTTTATTATAATTTTTTGATGAGACTCCCCCCCGCCCCATTTCCTCCTTTTTATCTGAGGTGATTTGTAGCTGAACAACATGGCTTGCTTTTATCTCCACTTCTAAAGCTGCACTTGTAAGATGATGTTCAGCAGCAATTTAATCCCCGAGTAGCTTGGTTCAGTTTTCACAGCTGCTGCCAAATGGGCCTTCCCTCACAATCTTTTTAATCATTTGTAAGGCCTAAAGTATTACCTATGAAAAATCTTTATACAGGTAGTCCTCGATGCAACGGAGCCTAAAATTTCTACTGCTAAATGAAATATTTGTTAAGTGAGTTTTGCCCCATTTTACAACCTTTCCTGCCACAGCTGTTAAGTGAATCACTGCAGCTGTTAAGTTAGTAACATGGGTGTTAAGTGAATCAGACTTCCCCATTGACTTTGCTTGCTGGAGGGTCACAAAAAGTGATCACATGACCCCAGGACATTGCAACCATCATGAGTCAAGTGACAGGCATCTAAATTTTTTTCGTGTGATCACAGGAATGTGTCAATACTCGTAAGTGTGAAAAATGGTCATAAGTCATTTTTTTTAGTGCCATTGTAATGTCGAGCGGTCACTAAACAAACTGTTGTAAGTAAGGACTAACTGTAGTAAGTATTTTCCCCCTTTTAAGTCCAGACATTATTTTTAAATGGAGTCTTGTTAGTGTGCATTGTAACAATCAAGAATTAATGATAGGATACTATACTGGGAAGGTATTTTAATTATATATTTTGGGACGATAATAAGTCATATTCTCAAGGGAGGCTTAAAAGACACTTTTTAAAATTGCCTAAATTTAGCTTTTCTGAATACACAGGACTAACCCACAAATTAGAAAGCAACACTTGGGGTGTGGGTGGGTGAGGGGGGAGGTTCATAGAAACTGTCCTGCTATAGGCAGTCAGTTTTTCCTCTCAGTTTTATTGTAGTAAGGAGACTCTTGGATAGATATCTCAGCTCAGCCTTCAACAAATTCATTTGTCAAGGTCTGAAAAGTCTTTGATCTAAGGGAAAAAGAATGCTCAGGGAGGAAGGTGTTAGATTGCAAGAAAAACTTGGAACTGATTCTTAGAGAGAGTCTGTCTTGCAGTTTTGTAGGATATTGACAAGGTTTACTCTTTGAATCCCCCCCTTCCCCTTCTGTGAATATTGCAGTTCTGATTTATGAATGGGCAGCCACAAAAATTTCAGTTTTTTTATCAGTATTAAAACTTCTGCTTAGCTTCTATTCCTTTCCATATGCAGAGCTGCTTCCCTCTTGGTGGTTAGCCTCATACATCATTTTAAGCCATAATGTGGTTGGTTTGTATTTGGCTTAGCATGATATGTGAACCCAGGCTTTGGGGCATGTAAACCATAGCTTATGTCTTTACATTATCTTTGAACCAAGCCACTGGTAGCATGTTCAACAAACTGTGCTTAACATAAATCAACACACTCAGCACTGTCTTCTATAGATGCAGCCTCAGCCAAAATGCTTAATTCTGAGAATTTATTCCTTCTAAATTCATTTCATGCAGTGCAAGTACATGTTTTAATTACAATGGATACATTGACTGAATGGAGGAAATCAACTTCAAATCTGTTTTCTTTTTACTTTCTTCAAAATTGTTATTTCTGCATATTTCTTCATCCTCCAGATCTAGTTGACTACTTTGTCACACTCTTCCTTTCTATACAAAAAGAAAAAAAGGAAAAAAAAAAGAGGAAAACAGCTGTTTAGGGAGAAAGAACAAAGAACAATGAAAGACTAAGATGTGAAGAAAAGCTGCTGCAAGTTAGGTGATCAAATAAGTGATTATTTTTCCAGAGAGGGAACGCTTATAAGATTTTCCAGAAGGTCAGCATGTTTGTTCCCCAAGCATTTATAAAACACACTTAAACAATTTCAGAATGTTTGTAAGCTCTTTTTACTTTTCAGATCTATGCTGATATTCAAAGCAATATAATCATGGCCAAGGCAGTCAGCGTTTGTTATAGCTGTCTCTATATTCATACCTCTCCATTAAAAAGAAAAACAAAACACAAGAAAATAATTTATTCATGGAAGTATGGCATTAAACTTTCATTTAAAAAATTGTTGAGAATATTAGGGAGGGAAGAGAGTGAAGAAGGATCAGATGTGAAAATACTTTTTTTTTTTAATTTAAACATGGCAGCTCCATATGGAAGAGGTTGAATCTTGGGCTGAGGGAGAAGGTAGTGGGACTGCATCCATGTAGAACTGAGATGCTAAAGTTGAGCACAAGTAATGAAAGAGACTTGAAGAAACAGCAGAATAGAACTATGACACAATTATGAAATTAATAAAACATGGGGGCATTAGAAAGTAGACTTAAACAATACCTAAAGGTATTGCTATATTTCCTTGCAGCCTCTTTAAACTTAGGCTTTGAAAACAGATAATTGTTGGGTGCATTGAGAAGTGACAAGGAATTGTGGGCAATGTGTAATATTCAATAAAAGATCTGTGCTCCTGGCCCTTCTTAATTCTCTAAACAATTTCTATTGACATTTGCTGGATAGAAAAGCAAATAAATGGTTCTGAAACACTTTTAGTGTGTTCTTGGAGGCTACCCATAATTTTCAGATCCCTGACTATCCTACTAGAATAAAAATAATATAGATCCAATTCATATCATTATAGAATCTTAAGAAGGGCTTTCTTTACATTTGTTAGAAGTACAAGTTGATGATATATTTCAAAAGACTAGAATCTAGAAAACTAAGAATCTAATGAAGGAATCCATTGCCCAAAAACTGCCCCCTGCCCCTGCTCCACCTCCCACCCTGCCTGCTCCGCCCCCACCCACCCCCTGCCCACTTGCAGGGACACACACTGCCTCCATGGCCCACAGCACATCACCCAGGCAGCCCTGCAGCACCATGGCAGCCACGCCCTCTGCCCACACCCCGCAGCATCATCTGCAGGCTATGGAGTGCGAGGGCGGAGTCGTGTCCCTGCTGCCCGGCTATGTCTTTGGCTGCGCTCTTCCGTGTGGGCCGCACCCGGGGGCGATTCTCCTCCAGGGAGGCTGCTGGTGAGGGGGGCCACAGGGGGAGGCGGGGCTGGGGTGACGGCACGTGTGCCCACAGAGAGGGCTCCAAGTGCCGCCTCTGGCACACATGCCATAGGTTCGCCACCACTGGTCTAGTGGTTAAGGGATCAGGCTAGAAACCAGGAGACTGTGAGATCTCATCCTGCTGTAGGCATGAAAGCTGGTTGAGTGACTTTAGGCCAGTCACTCTCTCTCAGTCCAACTTACCTCCAGTGAGGAAAATAGGAGCAGGGAGGATTATTGTGTGCATTCACCATCTCAGAGTTATTTATAAAATTGTTTAAGGCGGTATGTAAATAAATAAATAAGTACTACTTCCTCCATATTACATGTCTTAATTTTTCTTTCTTTCAAAGAGATTCATTCAGAAACAATCCTTTCCCATATTCAAAAGATCATAATATTTCATCTGTTTGTGCAAATTCATTCAAAGCATTTAGAATATCCTTGGCCACTTTCTAACTTCAAAGATGTGTCAGTACTGAGACTATTTGGTCAATCAGGTGATTGGTTGCTCTTGCTTTTACTGCTATGGGAGTAACCCAGAGTTGGTTAGAAGATGGTGTGTGTGTGTGTGTATATGTATGTATGTGTGTGTATAGGGGGATTAGCCATTTTGGATCTAATTCTCACTAACAGAGATGAAATGATAGACGGTGTTGGAGCCATAGGAACCCTGGGAGGAAGTGATCATGCAATATTAGAATTCAACATTATAGAAGCACAACCAATAGAACACAGTCAAACTAGAGTCTTGGACTTCAAGAGAGCTAATTTCAATAAACTTAGAGAGGGCTTGGGAAGGATTCCATGGATGAGAATCCTCAAGGGGAAAACAACTCAAGAAGCTTGGGAAATTTTGAAAAATGAGATAATAAAAGCACAGTCTAGCACAATACCAACAAAGAGGAAAAATAACAGCTCTCAAAAGAAACCAGCATGGCTGCATAAAGAACTCTCTGACAAATTGAAAGATAAAAAGGACAAGTATAGAAAGTGGAAAGAGGGGAACATAACTAAGTCAGAATATCAGCAAATAGCCCGAGCCTGCAAAGATGAAGTGAAGAAAGCCAAGGCTCAAAATGAACTGAGGCTTGCGACCAAAGTCAAAAATAACAAAAAAAGCTTCTTTCAACATGTAAAAAACAAGAAAAAAGTGAAGGAAATGATTGGTCCATTAGTGGGTGGAAGTGGCAAGAAGGTGACAAGCAACAGGGAGAAAGCAGAACTATTTAACTCATTTTTTGCATCTGTCTTTACACAAAGGGAAAAAACAGACCAACCTATCAAAAATAGTGCCACAAAAAACAAAACAGAAACACAAGTTAAGATAGGCAAGAAAATCGTTAGTGAGCACCTGTCCAGCCTAGATGAGTTCAAATCGCCAGGACCAGACGGATTACACCCCAGAGTTCTCAAGGAACTGGCAGATGTGATATCGGAGCCACTGAACTATATTTTTCAAAGATCCTGGAACACAGGGGAACTACCAGAGGACTGGAAAAGAGCTGATGTAGTTCCCATCCTCAAAAAAGGAAAAAAAATGGATCCAGGAAATTACAGACCTATCAGCCTGACCTCAATACCTGGGAAGATCCTGGAAAAGATAATCAAACAACGAATCAACGAACACCTAGAGGCAAACAAAGTCATTACTAAAA